CCCCCCCCCACAGTGCCCCTGGCACCCCCGGTGCCACCCTCACCCTTTCCAGGTGGCTTCGTACTTCGGGCACACGGTGGCAGTGGCCGATGTCGATGGGGACGGGTGAGAGCCGGGACAGTCGTCCACCCCTTCATCCAGGGCGACACCCAGGGGTCCCCCCCCCACAGTGCCCCTGGCACCCCCGGTGCCACCCTCACCCTTTCCAGGTGGCTTCGTACTTCGGGCACACGGTGGCAGTGGCCGATGTCGATGGGGACGGGTGAGAGCCGGGACAGTCGTCCACCCCTTCATCCAGGGCGACACCCAGGGGTGCTGCCCCGTGCCTGGCACACCGCAGGGTGCCCCCAGACCTGCGTGCCCTGACCCTGACCCCGCTCCGGGCATAGGCGGGATGACCTGCTGGTGGGTGCGCCCCTGTACATGGCCCGGCGCTCCGACGGGCAGCGCAGCGAGCTGGGGCGCCTCTACCTCTACCTGGGGCGGGGACAGCAGCCCCTCGCCGGGCCCCCCCAGACCCTGACGGGGACCCACCCCTACGGCCGCTTCGCCGCCGCCATCGCCAGCCTCGGGGACCTGGACAAGGACGGCTTCGGCGGTAACAGCGCGGCGGGGCGGGGAGGAGGATGTGCCACCCCCGGTGCCGCGCCTTGGGGAAACTGAGGCAGGAGAGCGCGGGTGGGCGTTCACGTCCCTTCTGTCCCCAGACGTGGCCGTGGGCGCCCCGCAGGGCGGTGACAGTGGCAGCGGGCAGGTCTTCATCTTCCGCGGGCAGAGCGAGGGGCTGGCGCCGGTGCCCATCCAGCGCCTCGACAGCCCCTTCCCCGGCCCCGCCGCCTTCGGCTTCGCGCTGCGTGGTGCCGCCGACCTGGACGGCAACGGCTACGCGGGTACAGCCCTGGCACGACACCGCCCTGCCACCCCGCTGTCACCACCCCGGCACCGACCCTCTGCTTGTCCCTGCAGATCTGCTCGTGGGGGCTTACGGGGCGGCCAAGGTGGCCGTGTACCAGTGAGTGCCCGTCCCTGCGGTGGCCCGGGGCTCCCTCTTGGGTCCCCTGGTACTTCAGCAATGTCCCCGTGCCCCAGGGGACTGCCCGTGGTGGTGGCCCGGACCCAGCTGAGTGTCCCCGACGGGCTGAACCCTGAGATCCTGGACTGTGTCCTGCCCGACTCCAGCGTCCGTGTCAGCTGGTGAGGGGACACTGCCATGGGGACACTGCCGTGGGGACACTATGAGGACACCACCGTGCGGACCATGGGGACACCACCGTGGGCACAGGACAGGTCTCTGAGCAGCTGTTGGTGGTGTCTCCCTGCAGCTTCCACGTGGTGTTTTGTGTCAGCGTGACGGGCCAGCACATCCCTCAGAGCATCCGTGAGTGCCAGTGTGACCCGGGGAGCACTGTTGCGGTGTCACCGCGGGTGTCACCAGTGCCACCCTCCCGTTCCCCACCAGAGCTGGAGGCTGAGCTGCAGCTGGACCGGCTGAAGCCCCGGCCATCGCGGAGGGTCCTGCTGCTGCAGGGACACCAATCGTCCTGGCAGGGGGAGCTGCTGGTGGCACCGGGGACACCCCCTGTGTGCAGCAACCTCACCGCCTACCTGCGGGTACGGGCACAGGAACAGCACGGCAGAGGGCGACAATCCATGGAGGCGACGGGAAGGGGGATGTGGCATCTCCAGCCAGGATGGGGACAGGGTTGGGGACAGGGCTTGGGGATAACAGTGCCTCCCTGTCCCAGGAGGGTGGCTAACAGGGATGGCTGGGGGCCGTGGGGTGGGGTGGGCACGGGGTGCCCTGCAGAGTGCTGTGCCCATGGGTATCCCCAGGACGAGGCCGAGTTCAAGGACAAGCTGAGCCCGGTGGCCCTGAGCGTGGCCCTGACGCTGCCCAGAGTGGCCCCGGGATTGGTGCTGTACGGGGACACCCTGGTGCAGGCACAGGTAGGGGGGACATGGCTGTGGGGGGATGCCACCGTGGTGACATGGGGTGGGCTCATCCCCACCAGGGCACGTGTGGGTACCCCCAGCCTGGGTGGGCTCAGCCTGGGGTCCCCAGCTTGTGCCAGTGTTCCCAACATCCCCCTGGGACGTTGCTCCTGTCCCCCTCCCACTCTCCCCAGTTTCCACTGGGGTGTGGCTCCTACCCCCCCCCCCCCCCCCCCCCATCACTGTCCCTTATTCCCTCTGGAATGTGGCCCCACACTGCCCCTGCCACTCCCTGGCATGTTCTGCCCTCTGTGCTCACCCTGCAGTCCCTAGTCCCTCTCCTGGATGTCCCCTCTGTACCCAGCACTGTCCCCATTCCCAGCCCCAAGATGTCCCCTCTGTTCCCTCTGCCATTTCCAGTCCCTCCCCTGCTGGGACAGGATGTCTGTCCCCTGCTGTCCCTGCTCCCTCCTTGGCGTGTCTCAGGGGATGTCCCCTCTGCTGTCCCCATTCTTCCCTCTCGGAGATGTCACCTCCCTCCCCTCCATCCCCGGTCCCTCCATGGAATGTCCCCTCTCTGCACTGTCCCAGATCCCCCCTCTGGGATGTCCCCTCTGGCCCCCTCCACCAGCCCAATCCCTCCCCAGGATGTCCCCCCGTGCCCCCTGCTGTCCCCAGTGACTCCCTCTCCCCCACCTTACCCTGGATGGGGGGGTCCCCCTGTCCCCTCCGTGTCCCCCTGCCAGACCCACATTATCCTGGAGGACTGTGGCGATGACAACCTCTGCGTGCCCGACCTGCGCCTGGCTGCTGACACGTGAGCACCGCAGGGCTGAGGGAGTGCCCGGTGTCCCCGCGGGGTGCTGAGCCCACGATGTCCCCGTGTCCCCAGCCCCAGCCAGCGCCTGCTGATCGGGGCGGAGGCCGTGCTGTCCCTGCGTGCCAACGCCACCAACGCGGGCGAGGGCGCCTTCGAGGCCGAGCTGAGGGTGCAGCTGCCCCCTGGCACGCACTACCAGGCTGCCCGCAGCACCATCCCGGTGCGTGTGACGGGGGTGACAGGGGTGACCGGGGCGGGGGGGGTCACGTCCTGCCCTTGCTGGCCATCACCTGCCTCTCTGGGGGTGCCCAGCGGGGATGGGTGCTGGGAGATGCCCAGGGTGGGGGACTCGCACCGTGTCCTTGGTGGCTGTCACCTTCCATGGGGGTGCCCAGTGGGGATGGGTGTCAGGGGGTGACCCAAATCGGGGGGCTCACAGTGTCCATCATCCTCCACGGGGCTGCCTGGTGGGGGTGGGTGCCCAGGGATCCTGGGCTGGGGGTTCCTGTCCTGCCCTTGGTGGCTGTCACTCTCCACAGGGTCCCCACTGGTGGTGGGTGTTCAGGGGTGTCCAGGGTATGAGGCTCAAGCCCTGCCCTCAGCTCATGCAGGTTCCCAGTGTGGCTGGTTCCTAGTGGGGTCCATGACGTGTCCCCACCCCGCAGGGGCAGAACAAGCTGAGCTGCAACCCCAAGAAGGAGAATGGGACCCACGTGGTGCTCTGTGAGTTGGGCAATCCCATGAAAGCAGGAGCCCGGGTAAGGGGACAGGGGGGTCCCTGCTGTGCCTGTCACCCACTGGGGCTGGTCACCCACGTGCCCCTCTCCTCTGCTGTCCCCAGATCACCGTGGACATGGAGCTGAGCGTGTCTGGGCTGGAGGACATGGGGGATGCCATCACCTTCCACCTCCAGCTATGGAGGTGACACCCTGCTGTCCCCCCGTCCCCCACCCACTGCTGGGACACTGGCACCTCGGACTCAGTGTCCTCAGCATGTCCCCATACTCAGCGTCCATCTCTCATCCGGCTGTGTCCCCACAGCAAGAACAGCCCCAGCCACGCATCGGTGACGGTGCCGGTGCCCGTGGAGGCAGAGGCAGAGATGAGGCTGCGAGGGTGAGGGTCTGGGGGGGCACGGGGATAACGGGGGGATGAAGGGGGACGCTGACCCCCCTCTCCCACCAGCAACTCCCTGCCTGCCACCATGGTGCTGCCCACGAGCTGGCACAGGGTGGAGGGCAGCCGGCGACTCGAGGACCACGGCATCAGGGTGGAGCACGTCTATGAGGTGATGCCCGCGGCTGTTCGGGGGATGTCCCCTCTGTTCCCTCCCCGGTGTCATCTCCTGTGCTGGGCATCACCCACCGTCCTCCCGCAGCTCCACAACAAAGGTCCGGGCACCGTCAGCGGGGTCACCCTGAGCCTCGCCGTCCCCCACCTGCTGGGCGACCACGTCCTGCTCTACCTGCTGGAGCTGGGCACCGAGGGGGGCATGAACTGCTCCCACCACCGCGCCCTCAACCCCGCCCAGGTAGGGGCTGCGGGACCGTGCCCGCCGGCGGCCGCTGGGACATGTCAGGGAGGTGGGTGTCACCTCTGTGTCCCCTTCCAGCTGGAGATCTCCGCTTCGACGGCCGCAGCGCCCGGGAACGGCACCCACCAGCGGGAGCGCCGGGAGGCGGAGCCGCCCCCGAGAGCCGGGCTGGGGAACGAGGGGCTGGGGGACCTCGTCCGTGTGGTGAGCGGGTGACCCTGGGGACCTGCCGGCTGTGATGGAGGCAGGGCTGGGGCTGCATCCCTTGGGTGACCCTGGGGACATGCACGCCATGGTGGGCACAGGGCTGGGAGTGTCCCCTGGGGTGGGGGCCCCCCAACACCCACAGTGCTGGACACCGCCCTCAGGACTGTGACAATGCCACGTGCGTGAACATCACCTGCCACGTGCCCAGCCTGGGCAAGGACCAGCGGGCACTGGTCAGCATCCACGCCCTGCTCTGGATGGACACCCTGCAGCAGGTACTGTCCCCTCCTGGGGACAGAGGCGACGGGGTGGCATTGTGCCCTCAGGGCATCCCTGCAATATCCCCTCCTGCACAGTGGTCCCCAGAGAGCACCCTGGGGACACCATGTGTGGGGTCATGGGTGACCTGTTAACTGCCAGCACCCCCGATGCCAGGTTCCCATGTGTCCCCCGTGTGTTCCCCCCTCTGTCCCTAGCGGGAGCACCTCCTGACGCAGTTTCGCATCCAGTCACAAGCGTGGTTCAACACCTCGGCCATGCCCTACCGCGTCCAGCCCCGGGTCCTGCCTGCCGGCAAGGCTGAGGTAGGGCTGGCGTGGGTGTGGGGACACGGGGACAGGCCGTGGTGGCAGCGGTGTCACCCACCTGTCCCTCTGCAGACTGAAACCTCCGTGGTGCGAGCCAGCCCTGGGGGCGAGGGGGCTGTGCCGGTGTGGTGGGTGGTGCTGGGGGTCCTGGCCGGGCTCCTGCTCCTCACCCTCCTCATCCTCCTCATGTGGAAGGTGAGTGGGTGCAGAGGGACACTGGGGACACTGGGGACACCCACCATGGTGGTGGGGCCTCACTGGCACCAGAGGGACCATGAGACATGGGACACAGTGCTGGGGGTGGGGGCTGTGGGACAGGACAGGGACAGCAGCACGGGTGACACCGTGCGGTCCGAGGCGGGTGACACTGTGGGGGTCCCCAGAGGCAGGGCATCCCTCAGGAGCAATGCCATGGGGTCCAACGGTGGTGCCACAGGGATCTCCGGGGGGTTGATGATCCGGGATCCCTGGGGCTGCTGCTGCGGGGTCCCCCAGGGCCCGACTGTCACTGTGTCCCCTTCCAGATGGGTTTCTTCAAGAGAACGCGGCCGCCTACCGAGGGGGACCCGCAGGAGCCGGGCCAGGCCCAGGAGCCGGGCAGTGCCCAGGACTAGCGGGGTCCCCCTGTGCCCCACCCCCACCCAGCTCGCCTTCCCCGTGGGACCCCAGCCCCGCTCTGCTCCCCCCGGACAATAAATCCCTGCCGTGCTCTCGGGTGCTGCCCACGGGGTGTGCTTGTGTCCCTCCGGAGCTGCACCCTGGGGTCTGCCAGGGGACAGGGGGGCTTTTGGGGACCTCCGTGTGCATTTGTGGGTGCCCAGGGAGAGCAGTGGGGTGCTGGGTGCCGGGGTCAGTCCCGGGGGCTGCTGCACTGCTGGGGGATCCGGACCGGGGCCGGTGCTGGTACCGCGGGTGGGTCACGGTACCGGTACCGCGGGTGGGTCACGGTACCGGGGCCAGTCCCAGGGTGGGACCGGGGGATCGGGGCAGTGCCAAGGGCCAGTCCCGAAACGCCGCTGCGGTACCGGGGCTCGACGCTGAGGCTCAAGGAAGTACCGTGAGTGGGTCCTGGGACGCTGGTGCCGGTACAGGGCCAGTCCCGGGATGACGGTGCCGGTACCATGTCCCCGTACCGGGGCTCGGAGAGGAGCCGGGAATGGGTCACGGGAGGCCTGTGCGATACCGGGGGCAGTGCAATGCGGCCGGTGCCAGTACCGGAGAGAGTCCTGCAGTGCCGAGTCCCGGTCCTGGTCTCGGGGCCGTGCCGGGGATGGGTACAGCGGGTCGGGATCGGTACCGGGGTTAGTGCCGGGGCTCGAGCAGTGTCAGAGGTGGATCCGGGGGTCGGTGCCGATGTCGGGGGTGGGTCCTGAGATGCCGCTGCCGACACCAGGGTCAGCCCCGGGATGCCGGTGACGGTACCGAGTCCGGGTCCAGATCCCGGAGCGGTCCCGGGGAGGGGTGCCGGCGTCTGTTGCGGTACCGGCGGCGGGTCCCGGCTCTCGGGCGCTGCAGGGGGCGGTGCCGGCGGTCTGGGGCGGTGCCAGGGGTTGGTCTGGGGGTCTCGGGGCGGTGCCGGGGGTGGTCCCGGTGCCGGGGCGGTGCCGCTCCGGGGGTGGGCACTGGGCGGCCGTGCCCGGCGGCTCCGGCAGGTGGAGCCCGGTCCCCGCGGCGGGCGGGCGGACGGGCCGGGCGGGCCGGGCATGGCGGGGTAACGGCGCGGAGCCACCATGCCCCTCCGCGCCCGCGCCCCCCTCCATCCCCCTTGTCCATCCGCCGTTCATCCCCGGCTCTGTCTGTCCGGCCGCACCCCCGTCTGTCTGTCCGTCTGTCTGAACCGCTCTCCCCGGGCGGTTCTGGCCACCGGCATGAAGAGGGTGATGGGTGGGGGGCCTGGGCAGGGGGTGCAGCTGGTGGGGTGGGGGTCACGGACAGAGCCTGGGGGATCAGAGGGTGTAGATGGTGCCAGACCTTGCGGTACAGGATGGCGGGGGGGGGGGGTCCCGGGCAGCGCCAAGGGGTCCCGATGGTGGGTGGGCATCACAAACCAGGGGGTGAAGGAAGTTGGGTGGGGATCGTGGACAGAGCTTGGGGGTGCAGGAGGGTGGATGGGGGTCCTGAGCAGAGCTTGAGGGTGTCTGATGGTGGGTGGAGGTCCCAGGGCAGGGGGTGCATGATGGTGGATGGGCAGGGGGTCCTGAGCAGCAGCCGGAGGTGCAGGATGGCGGGGGGTGCATTCGGCAGACAGGGTGGGCCTTGAGGTCACCGCGGTTCCCTGTGACCCCCTCCTGCACCCCAAACCCTCCTGGCAGAGCCCCCTGTGCCCGGGGGTGACAGGGGGGGCTGTGGGGTCAGTGACCCCACCCCCGACCAGTCCTGTCTGTGCTGGCTCAGCTCCCCGCTGGCGTCACCCCTGCCCATTCCCGTCCCCTGGGGTGACAGACATGACAAGGCACCTCACTGCCACCCCAGGGCCTGGCACCTCCCGCCCTGCTCACGGGACACTGGGGTCAGACTGGGAGGCGCTGGGGAGCCAGCGAGGGGTCAGTGAGCCTCAGGTGGCCACACCACCCTCTGGGGACCCCTTGGTGGTGGCGGGGGGACAGAAAGTGGGGACGGGGCCATGCCTGTGCCTGTGTCCCCGCGCTGGGGGTGGCACCATGGCCCCCCTCCCCGGCGGACACCGGCGTGGCCGTTGATGCCAGCTGTCCCCCGGCAGCTGCCGGTGGCCGGCGTGAGGCCGCGGGGACATTCCTGCCCGCGGGTGCCGGCTGTCCCCGCCATGCGGGGGGACACCCCCAGCCCCTCCATTCCTAAAC